GTGTGTGTGTGTGTGTGTGTGTGTGTCAAACAAATGGTGCAGTATCAGTAATGTATCCTTCTGCTGCATCTAATTACAGTACAGAATAATAAATGTTTTTGCATCTTGTTTTTTTAAATTACATGATCTCAATTATTTTTGAGACAGTTCCCACAGAGAAACACTATCCCTAATCTGCCGCCAAAATGTTCCCTTTTCTTTCAGAGTATAAAATCTAACCCAAGGATGTCAGGTAAGCAACCATTGTCTAGAGGAATACGTATGTACAGTAAATGCAGGTATGAATTGTATTCAGTATTAATGTTTTGTTTAGTTAAACATTGCATATCATGGGAGACATTACCGTAATTTTCGGACTATAAGCCGCGCCTTTTTCCCATTTTTCGACGCTGTGGTTTATATAACGGTGCGGCTAATCTATGGATTTTTACAGCTAACGGCCACCACCTTTAACTCTATGGGCTCTATGGCCGGTCCGCGGACCCCCAACTTTAAGCGGCGGGTTCCAGCAGGAAAAGCTGGAGGCCGGAAAAGAGTGAGACAGGTAGCGCGCAAAAGTAAAAGTGGAACCGAGAGTGGTACGAGAGACAGAACGAGAGCAAGACAGACAGACATTACGAGAGCGAGACAGTTTGTCCCCGTACCACTGGTTGAAAACCACTGCTGTAGATCACTGCCGGTACGTGCGCTGGGAGCGCACCGTTTAAGTTTGAAAGTTGAACAGTTTGAAAGTTGAAAAGTTTGTGTGTCTGAAACGCTATGTGATACAGTACAGTTTACACAGCACAGTACATGTTCTGTAGCTACTATTGCACTAAATGGTAACACTTGAATACGTTATGCAAATATGCAACTTGTTTGTTGAAATGTTAATAAATGGGAGCTTCCTCAAACAGCCATCTCTTTCCCGACAATCCCCTCTGTGCACGAACCCTTACATATGGTAATTAAACATTAAAACACCTGCGGCTTATAGTCCAGTGCGGCTTATATATGTACACGTCATTCAATTTAGCTGCTGCGGCTTATATTCAGGTGCGCCTTATAGTCCGAAAATTACGGTATACTACGTCATCGAGTGGCGCCGAAGGACTGTTTAAATGCCCAGCATTCGGCGCCACTCGATGACGTAGTATACTTGAAATAGTGGCTCTGCAGCAGGTATACTCGACATTTAGAAACGGCCACAGTCTAATGTTCAAAGCACCATGATGGAGCCTTTTTCTAAGGTTGGTGGTTTAATACTGCCCCCCTCTGACATGAGTCAGCACTGCTCTGTAATAATGACACTTCTCTTCTCTCGAAAACAATAGGATACTTGAAGTGGAAAGATCGTTTCGAGGTGATTTCACCAAACTGTAGAGTGTATACAGGATGTGTCTGGACTCTGGGAAAGAGGCCAGTGTGGCAGTTTACACCAAATGCTCAGACTCAATCCACATTAAAAGACTGCTGTAGATGAATCACTGCCCTTCCACTCCTTTACAGGCAAAACTGTTATTGCACACCCATGAATACAGAAATACACACACAAACCATGAATTATGCTTTTATATATATAGAATTACCAAATTAAATATGCATATTTTATAAAAGGTATGAAACAACAAAACAATGGTGAAAAGGTGAACTTAATCGTGGTCATAATGCTTTTTCTCTTAAATTAAATAGTTAAAACTAAAATTCTAAGATCCAGAGTTACATTTTTGTTTACAATCAAAGTAGATGTAAAACAACCACATTTCAGATCTGAAAGCGGTAAATAACCTTTAAATCTATTCTCAAAATCGACATTTTCTCGTGATGGACAGCCTGTCTGTTAACACATCTGGTTCATCATTCTTGTTGTAATGCCACCGGATATACCCCTGCAACTTGTATTAATAAAATCTCTCAGATCTTTCTGAACAATTTCTCCTCTCAATGAATAACCATATCTTCTTTGGTCCTTTACACATCAGACATTCATACTTGTCATACCACAAAAAGCAAAGGTGTGTTTAACATGGATGATGACTTCATTCTGTTTAAGTGCCATGTCCCCCATGTGAAGGCCTATTGACGGCCCCTTTGGTTCCAGTGACGGTTGTAAGCAGATGAGTGTCTCGCATCACTTATGACCCTAAAGGTGACATGTGTTCATAGATGTAAAACCAACAGACCGAAGATACAGAAATAGTCTGAGTAGTTGTATGCTAGGACATTATTGCTTACAAAAGTTATTAAACCTGTTGAAAAGAGCCTGAGAGGAAAAGTTTATATTCTTCAAACTATACATGAGAGAGGTTGCAGGTAATAGTTACATCCAGAGATAACATTCTTTTAGTAAACACAGTTTGAAAACTTGACTCAAGAGTTTGACCCAAAATGTTCTAATACTGTATTATTTAATATGTATAACTCCAAGCAGAAACCAAAATGTATACGAGATATGAATTTGGCTATGGTTGCAGTTTCCATAGTGCATTGTAGAACTGAAAAATAGGCGTGCACATTAGACGGTTAAGGTCATGTGTCATGTATGTGTGTTGTGAACCGTTAGCTGACTGCATCATCAGCCGTTAACCTAGATAGATAAACTTCGCAAACATGTCAGCAAAGTCAAACACAAAAATCTTGACAACTGACTTATCTTGATGAAATGGTCCCTGCAAGGCCGACATCATAAAAGCATGTTTTACCATAACACTGTCCAACTTTGATTTGATATTAAAAAAACATTTTTTTTTAAAACTCCCATTGACTTAGCAAACCACTAATACACTTGGTACAATTTTTTAAACATTTGAAAACAGGAACTATCTTCAGAAAAGAATAACATTATCCAAACAAGTACTATTCAATTATGGATGGGTTTAATTAGGGCTGTAAAATAACTGTTTTTTGGATTACACTTTCTGAAATAACGTTTTATTCTCATTGTTTTAGACATACTTCCTATGTTTAGGGTGGTAGTAAAAGTAATGGAAAGGGATTATGATTTCGCTTGCTCTGTTTTTCTATTGTAACATGACAGAAAAAAAGTAAATGATGGTTTTTCTTCAAAGCCCAAGTCCTAGCCACACCACTTTATACCTCTTCTCCATAACGTCAGTTAATAAACGTTACTAACAAAGTATAAGGTAAGCCACTGAGACATTTTCTGCTTAACACTGACTTCACCACTACTTTTACCTACTTTAACTTCTAGTGATTCCCAATTACAGTTGCCATATTTAAAATGTACCTCGAAAATGTTTTAACAACTGAAAGTAACCACGTAGCTAGCTCTACCAAACAAACACGGAGAAAAGGCTAGGCTAGCATAAAGCTAACATTCATATTTAACGATACGCAGCTGTTTACGTTATACAAGCCTGCACTATATTTCTTACTTTAATTGTCTAACGTTGTTTAACTAGTAAAAGGGAGTGGACATAGCTTGTGTTGGGAAAAGAAACACATCTCTGCGATAGTTAGCTTAGCTTAAGTCTCAAAACTACGATCCTAGCACTTGTTGCTGCTAGTCACAAAGTTTTGGGCGTTTCTTTTTTTTTGTCTGTGATCCTGTTTCACCAAACTACCCGGAAGGTCGATAGGCCTACATTACCCAGGTTTGACCGTGTACGATTGGAATGTAAAACAGTTTTGTAGAAACATTAAAGACTTACATTGTGAAATGAAATTTCTTTGAACGACCGAAGCTGTTTCTTGTGTGCAGGCTAAAAGCTAAAGTGTCAAGCCGTAACAGTTACTGTCGTCGGTTGTTATGCTGCCTTTCCTTCCCCTTGGAAAATGGGGATATTGACACGTATGAAAGATACTTTATTTACTAAAGAAAAATAATAAAGTAAGAACTTTATTTTTTTACTTGGTGTAAGCAGGATGTGCTGATAGTTAATTTAGGGATATTATATTTTATGGAATAACTTTTAACACAATTATATATACGATATAAATTGTAAAGATAATGGCTATATATGAATTATTATATATCCACTGCATCATCATGCACAACATACATCTTTGGTGCTTGGTTCCCCAAATAAAATATAATTCAAAAAGAGCTCAATCAATCGGGTATGTTGTTAAAAGTAAGGAAAGTACTAATAATTACTACTTGAAGTGAAAAAGGTTGATTTTACGATGAGAACTTGAAGGCAGCATTAAAGAGGCAGTAGCCCGTTTCCTCTTGTGCATAGCTACAATTATTAACGCATAACATGAGATTAAAACAGAAGGTAGATTGTACTTGAAAACATTGCAAATATCAAAATTAGTAATTAAAATAGAAAATGTTGGTCCTTATATTTGTCTCATTACAACCTCCATTAATTGGTTTGATCAACTGTCCAGTTATGCGAGGAAACAGTGACCACCCAAGCCCGTGATCAGCATGTGACATCCTTTAGGAACGTCAGCTTTATGTCGTGTAGATTTTAAGTAAGTGTATGCCTACTTCAAATGTGAAACGCTTGGAATCAGAAAAAAACCAACAGATGGATCATCTTTGTGATTTGTGCATTCCTCAGATTTATAAATAGAAACTACACAGAGGGCAAAGATATTTGCTTCAGATAACAACTAAAGTGTACACATTTTCATGAAATGCAACAGGATACAGGCCATGACTGTAGTGTGTGAATAGTTAAAGTTATTAATCAGAAGGTTAGTGCCATTTCTCTGGATTGTTTTAACTTGATGGATTAATAATGATACCAACACAACAACACTGCATACCAGACACACAGGTTCAAATTGCAAAGTGAGACCTACACAAAGGTTTAAAACCTCCAAAAAAAAAATCCTAAACTCCCAAGAGATAAATGATTCATTTCTTACAGACCACTAATTCTTAAAGACCCTTTAATTAACAACAAAATGTTATAGAAAACATGCATACAATATACATCTTATTTATTGAAACGTTTATAAGCTGAATAGTTGCTCACATATTTTAGAAGTTATAATATACTGGACAACGTATTAATATTGATAAAGATATTTTATGTTTATTTAAACATAATTTCTAACAAGGATAGCTACTTTTTATTTTCAAACTCAGTATCAAGTCACATGCTGAACTGTAATAACCAAAGACAGCAAGTGCTAAACATAAAACAATAACAATTGGAGTTAACAAATTAAAACAACAAGTAAATAGAGCATGCAAATTAATCCTTAAAACAAATCATGTTAATTGTATAAACCCTTTGTTCAAAGGCTTATTTAAGTGATTAAACTTTGTATTTTACTTTTATAGTGTATCACTAGTTGCTATGCTTTTCACCGATATACAATCAATCAAAGTTGCCCTTGGTATCAGGAGGCATTTAGGAAAGCTGAGCTTCCCTCAACACCAACAACATCGTCGTGTTGCTCTTTCCCTCTTGGCTACATCCCAGATCCTTCATTCGCCACAGACTCCCCTCCAGGGCTCACCTACAAGACAAAGGTGATTTTAGACTTTGTTTATATAGGTTTATTCATAAACTTCCTGTGTAAAATAACTAATAATTATATAAGTGTTCACCCCTCATCTTGTCTCTTGTTTCCGGTCGTCTCTGTGTTCCCTCCTGCTGATTATCCGATTGTGTTCACCTGGTGCCCTGTGTTTGCTCCTCCCCTCACCTGTGTCTTGTTAGTCTGTGTGTGTATTTAGGTGCTGTGTCTTGAGAGGCTGGGTGTGTGTGGGAGATCTTTGTGGCTGCAGGATGTGTTCACGGAGAACAGCAGGATTGAGGCGCTGAACTTTGTGCACATTATTTTAATAAATGCCCACGTCGGGTTATATTTTTGGACGTTCTGCCTCTGCCTCCTTGCTTGGTCGGGCCGCTCAACGGTCAGTCTCACATGTATCTATAAATAAAAACATAATGTAGGTAAGATTCAGTATGAAACCAAACTTACATTGTGTATTCCTTCCTGAGCAGCACCCCCATCATACAGCAGGCTGGAATTCTCCTCCTATAAATAAGTTTGTTAGATTTTATTCCAAATGTAATACATACATTGCAACAAAACCAGGCTGTAGTTGCTTATAGTATCCATACAAACTGAAAATGGTTTATGGAACAACATTGTTTGCAACAAAGAAAGAACCTAAATGTCTTACAAAATGAAAGAAATCCTAGTTGATCACATTCCACCTCTGCTGGCTTTCATGCTGTCACCTGATATTAGCGGCAGGTGCACTTAGTAACAGAGTCGATGTTAATGGCCTGCCTTCACTCTCTCTCCTCATTGCAAGCAAGTAGGAACACGGTAATGGTGGACGCCTCAGTGACTTGCTTGATTATGTTACACATTATCCCTGTCGAACAGAGAAACGCTTCTCATCCCTGGAGTCCAGGTTTTGGACACACATGGTCTTATTCATAGTTTCATGGGCATAATCCCTTTCCATGCAAAGACCCAGATACCCACACAGATTGATGGCACTTTTTCACTTTTGTTTACATGATCTGTACACTGAATCCCATTAGTAGGACATCATTGAACAACATGATTGTGATCCACCAAAACATGAAAAAAGAAGACTAATTCAATGTCAATTTAATACATTAAAAACATTCTAATAATGCTACATTCTATTGCTATAGCATTGACCACCCAACTGTCTCAACATAATAGTATACTATTTTGTTATCAGTGTGGAAATTGCAGGTTTTGAATATGTAAAAAACTATGAAAACCTTGGTTTAACAGCCTATTCATCCACACAACAGCAGATTATTAAATGATTTAAGATGATATAAAAAGGCAATTGGGAAAGAAAGTACAAATGACAGTAAAACTTACATATCCAACATGCTCTGTTTCCATCAGTTCTCCAGGCTCACTGGCCTCTGAGCTGCAGCCTCTGGGATAACACTCAGAATCACGCTTCTCTCTTGTTTTTTGAAGGAAGTCCATCGCTGTGGACTTCCTCAGCAGTGCTTAAACATAAACAGGTACCAGAGACATAATGATTGTTCAGATAATAGCAGCAAGATTGCATTTTCTCAGTCATTCTGTGTCATAAAAAAACTCACCTCCCTCGCATATGTAGGGTATCATGAGCATCAGAGTCAGTAGTGTTGCAGCCATGTCCTCATGCAGGTTCTTCATCTCTCACACTGTTGACTGTTGAGCCCCCCTAAAAACTCCGGGAACTTTGTGTTTGTCACCTGAGAAATCCCCACGCCCACCCCGCTCTGAGGATCATTCCAACGGGGACAATGGGTTTGTACTTTGCAGTGGGGAGTGTGAGGGGTTCATACCCTGACTATCAGTATACAGTGTTTTAAAGGTCTTACGAGAGTGATGAGAACCTGTTGTGCCTGTATTACATTGAAGAGTACAGAGTTATTAGAATTATTATTATTAAAGGTCAATTTCACAAGTAGATACTTTGTTGAAGAATATACATTTTCTTGACGTTTAATTCCCTATGACTAAAACAAAACTGCTTAACTTAAAGGGGTCACCCATTGTGCAAAATCCACTTTTTCACGTCTTTTATACATACACATGTGTCCCCTCTGCGTTAAGAGACTCTGAACGTTTCAGGAAAAAAGATTCACTCACTTTTTGTCCTGATCCATTTATATAAAAACCTGTCTGAAAATGAGCTGATCAGATTTTGGCCACTTTATGATGTCAAAACCTTTTTTTGGCGTAGTAATAGTGAGAGACCAATAACCAACCAAGGTAACACCCGCCCCCTTACCACCTGAATCTCCTCCTAGAGCACCATTGTGTTCATTTTAACCAAATATCTCTCAGAGGGGCGTGGGGAGGGGCTCCTTATTTTCATCTAAAGTAACAGACAGAGAATCAGCACTTTTGAAACAGGGCTGAAACAGAGGGGATTATGGGATACAATGATCTGTTTGGTATTTGGAGCCAAACACTTCAGAGACATTTTTGTATATATCTGAGACCTATAATATATTGATGAAAAACAGTATAATAGCGGACCTTTAATTTAACTGCCACTGTAGCATACATGCAAAGTCTGTGATTCCAGAGTTCAAGGATGAAGTAATGGAGCTTTAAACAATGACATAATTATCAGGATATCCTCAGGTCAAATATTTTCCATGCAGCGCCTGTAGCCCAATTGTTGAGTGTTCTGCAAATCAGGCTTTCTATGTGATAGTTCAATTGAGTAAACGGAAGCACAAAGTAAATCAAATGTAAATAGATTTAAAAGGATTATTTAAAAAGCAGAGATAGAGACCAACTGTACTTTCATGCTCAAGACATTAAAAAAAACTTGATTCTTGATAATGCTGCCACCTTGTTACTGCATAGACAACATTCAATATTTAAACACATAATAAAAGTCAAATTCCTGTTCAATTTAGTCGATTAAGTTATATAGATCAAGTTTGTATAAATCAACTTAAGACAAGATATTAATGAGATAAATTATGTCCTGATATACAGTACACATCTGCATTTTCTGTAGCTTTAAGACGATGTTCAAAAACTATGTTTTAATAATCTTCTATTTGAATGTAATGACATGCCAAAATATTAAAGACTGCAAGTTGAAAATGGCGAGCCAGTTGAACCTAGAAACTTCCGATCCGTAATCGGGCTAATCCAGAGTCATCCATTGCGACACTGTCCCTATAAGAAGTTTGATAATTGTATTATTCTACCTGAGACATTACTCTATTTTTCCAGCTTTCAATAAGATAAATCCCAGAATGACATAATGTCAAACTATCTGTCCATACTGAGCTGCAACCTCTCTGTCACAGTGTAGCCTGCACACACTTCTAAGAGTTGAATATCTTTAAAAAAGGACGCAGGCGTAACAATATTTGACAAATGTGTCCAAGGGTGTCACTTTGTTAGAAAGTGGTGGGGACAATTTTCCAGATTTAACATACGTATTCTGGTACTCTCTGAAAATAAAATAAACCAAAAAGACAACATTTACTTCAGGCAAACAGGTCAAAAAACATTGCCGCAAGCATGTTTTTAGGTCATATTAGAGTCAAAAGAGTAAGGAGGAATTATATTTGTTGACTATTTTTTTTTAAGTGCAGGTCAAAGTGGGAGCAATGTTAGTTTTTTACATTTTCTGTTAAAAGTCTACTTACATGTCCAAATTGCACATCTTGACACTAAAGAAGTGTTCTTGTTTATTACATTTCTTTGTGCATGTTATTTTTCAGAACATTTATAAGTTATACTTTTAAAAAGTGGTAGGAACATTGGCCTTTTCAAAAAGTGGTAGGGACATGTCCCCAGCGTCCCCAGTGCAAATGACGCCTATATGATTGTCATACACACAATCCTAATTGTACTCCCATCAGATGAGAGGAGTTTAAGGGTATAGATTTTCCCGGTCCATCATCAACATTGGAGTCACTGAGGCCTGAATGCCTGAAGTACCCTACCGAAAATGGTTGCAGTAGTAACATAATTAAAAGAGCATTAGCCAGAGAGACCACAGTGCCATATTGTCCCTAGAGGGCGCCACTGCCGCATACTAAAGTTAGTCTTTGTTAGTCATTGTTTTCATTGGGACTTAAATACTGTTCTTTGTTGCATTAAATGCATAAACTCACAACATTGGATCTTGAGGATTTCTTGTACATTTTCAGAAAAGTTTAATCTGGAAACTTCACACACAGGTATGAATGCACACTCTTTATTAGCTCCTGCTGATGTCATTTAAAAGGTCAGAGGCACATTTTCTACAGTGGATGCTGAATGGGCTGTTCCTCTGATCGCAGGTATTGTGGCTGGAGGAGGGAGAGGGGCCGCAGAGAGCAGAGAAGTTACCAACTGTCCGGGACTATTTTCTTGTGTAAAACCTTTGTTTGTATTGATTCACTGTGAATATTAGTTCAGTCAGCTTTGGTGGAGGTATCTGCATGGAGTAAAATCACTGCAGGTTTTTTTTTTTCTTGATTACATTCATCTGCAGCATCGTTATCATCGGTGTGCCTGACTGACCCACAGTCGTTTTATTCCTGTGGGATCATGTGGATTATTTGGGCGATTATGGTGGCAGCAGCGGCTGCTGATGGGAGATTGGGATGTCAGCTGCCCCGTGAATGGAGACCTCAGACAGAAGCGTGCCGTGCGGAGATGGCACAGATCATAGTGTTTGCCAAGGTGTTGGAACTGCACAAGGAGTTTTACAATGTGTATGATAACTACCTGCCGTCCGAAAACGAGCATCTTTTCTCCGCGGAGATTGAGCTGCTGTGCGACCAGGCGTGGGGCAGCATGCTGGAGGTCCCTGCTGGATCCAGGTTCAATGTCACCGGCCTGGGCTACTTCACCTGCTTCTCCTACAGTGTCACCAAAAACAACAACTACTACTTCTTTCTAAGGTGAGCACTCTAGATATTCCCACGTAATCTAATCAGTCCATAATGTTTTATTGCCAAAGATACCCAGAGCAAAATGAGTTGGAAGCCTTAGTAATTTGAGTTATATAAACTCTAAACTTTTTTCCCCATTCATTTCCAAATGATAAACTCTACCAGTTAAGTGTAATTCCATGTATTTAGGCCCTACTATAAATAAACGTAACCCTACCAGGGTTTGCACTCTCTTTTGCTACTGTAGGTGTCTTCACTCTACTACCCATATTTCCTGTTCAGACTAAAGACAATGCTTAAAAACGTTTGCAGAAAATTCGAGAATCTGCAGTAGCTTTGTCAATTTGGTTAAGACCAAAATTTGTTTTTTCACTCTGGGGTATAAAATCACTGCCTCCATTTATTGGAATGCATCCATGAATTGGACAAAGTTAATGCTTTGATGATAACCAACTGGGAAAGGAATTGCATAGCAATTTGGTACGTAATCTTCTGCATTGGATGTTGAGTTGTCCCTGGCAAAACTAAATGATGATTTCACATACAAATAATCCACCATCAGTCCCTCTGTACACTTGAGAATACAGTATGCGGAGCCAAAATGTAATGTCTCCAATATTCATCATCCATTTGACCTCACCTCCTCCTGGCCCATCCTCCTGTCAAAAGAAAAACAGAAATTCTTCATACATGTGTGAGATCTCACAGAAGGAAGCGAAAGGACCCTAGGAGGATTCAATCAATCATTGGCTAGTATTGAGACATTCTGCAGTCAAAAGCACTTTTAAAGTTATTAATATATCTAATAGCCTGCCAAATGCTCCACTCATATTTCAAAGACGTGTGTGGCAGGTTAATACTTAAATGTCTGTGTTGGACAGAAACAACCCTGTTACTCAGGAAACGTCTATTGCATTCCAGCCAGTGTAATTACAGAGCCAGACATTTCCCAAAAAGCTTGATGGTATAGGACCACCTTTTGTCCTGCTCAAACACACTGGTTTGCCGCTAGATGAAGGAAAAAACGTGTGCTGACAGGCCTTCGCCGATATTTCTGCTTTTTCTCTCAAACAGATGAAGAGTTAGATATTCAGAGGGGGGCACTGAAAAGCATTCCTGAAGTTTAATGTTCAGCTGTGCCGAATGAGGGTCTGCAGCAGCAGGGCCAACCACAATAGTATTCGTTATAGCATATGTTGCACATTATATTCACAGAATCACACACTCACATTGTGTGATTGTGTATTGTTGTAACTAATGACGACTAAAATATTATTTAGATGATTTCACTGGTTCTGGTTAATAACCCCTCCAGGGATGACTTTGCTGTCCCCTGTTGTGTTGCTGAAAACATCCGGACGTTATCCCCTTAATCAGCCCGGCGACCAACATCGGAAACTTCCTGAAGCACTTGTGCTTAAGTATGGACCTGATGATGATTAAGACGCAATGATTGCTCCAGTAAACATAAGCAGATCTTTTGACAGTGTTTACCAGGGAATGGAGAGAGCAACTCCTGAAAGTCGCTCCCGCATATTTTCCTGTGCAGCAGATTTTTAGCCCACCAGTCATGTAGACCTATGGGAAAAGAAACCAAAGCCCAGATGGTGTCCAACTTTTCTTTTTGATTCTTTAGGATTAAAAAAACATGAGATGTAACAAGCTATTCAGCTAACTTTAGAGGTGGTAGGCAGTTTTGTTAAAACTGGGAGGAGACAGGCTAGCTGTTTCCCTCTGTTCCCGGTCTTTATGCTAAGTTAAGCTAACTATCTCTTTGTTTTTAGCTTTATATTTACACATTTGAGGTAGTGGTAGGCCTAATGTTCTCATCTCAATCTCATGAACGAACAGAATAATAGTATTTCCCAAAATGTCAGAACTATTCCTTCAAATGTTCATTTAGCTAGTGGAATTAAACATTGATGTATCTATCACCATGTATACTAAATGGCAACTTTCTTTGAAACTGTAAGAAATGAGATATGGCCTGACGAATTGTTTTCTCATGTCCAGCTCTGTGGCATTCTGGCTCACGTGAGACTCCACCTCAAAATGCAAAACTAAAACAGATCAGTGTTGAATTTCAAAGGGGTGTTGTTGTGGCAGATCCGAAACACTGAGTCCCAGACTCGGTATGTGCAAGCCAAAACTGAAAAGTTCACATCACAGTCTCCAGTGGACGTCTATTTCCTGTTACAAAAGCCCCAACAACACGTATCTCAGACCAAAAATAGTATTTTCAATCAATCATGAGTATAAGCTCCAAGGACAGGACAAATCTGAGCCTAGCAGGAAGAACAATGCAACTCAGGATCTCCCTCAGGACCTTTAAATGAAACAGGCTGACTGTTCTGCTTGAGCCATACATTTGCTTTAAAAAAGACCTAGGCCTATATCTCCCTTTAAAAAAAAAAGGCTCACTCGCGATCAAGTTTTTGTAATGCGTTGAGTTGTGCATGTGCTGCGTATGTACTAAAAATGTATAAAGAGTTTTATGTGACTGTTTAGTTAGGTTTCCATCATCGTAGAGTCAACACAAGTTCCTCTGGATCCACTATTCCTTCTGACCTCCTGGTCACTGTGTTTACACCTGACCTCTGACCTTTTCTGTTGAACAAAAACATCAGCTTTCTTTGAGCTCCATCAACACAGATGCACACGCACTCACACACGCACACACGGTCTCTGATGGGGACAACCATCTTTTGAGGTCCCTCGAGGGATGCAAGATGGAATCCAGATGTTTGAATACATGCTGCTCCAAGGCTTCCTCCCTCCCACACTTCACATCCGAGGAGAAGATATGAAACATGCTCAGTAAATCCATTTGGCTTGTAGTTTGCAGGCTTGACTCATCTACATTGAATATGCATACAAAATAGATCAGGGTCTGCTACCAATTTTCCAATATATGTTAATATGCAACCTTATATGGATGAATAGGTAAACTAAAAATCTATCTGTTGGAAACATTTTTTACATAAAACATATTATTACACATACTTTACATATTCTATCATAATGTTTTTTTAATTGAGTGATCAATTTATCACAGGACAGGTGAAGACAGGTACAGGTTTACACAAACAGACAAAATAAAAATATACAAGAAACAAACGTACTGCTTTATGTTTAGAGCTCAGCCAACGGTCAACCAATTGATTTATCAAGTGACAGGAAGATAATTGCCTTCCTACTACTTTGATAAGCAGTTCTTTAGATTGAAGGAGATTTTCTGCTTTTCCCGTTTTTATATCATAATAAACTTAATTTGTAGGTTTTGGACTGACAATGCAAGACATTTAAAGACATCACCTTTGACTATGAGAAACTAGGACAGACATTTTCCGTAGGATTAATTGATTAATCAAGATAATAATCAGCAGATTTATCAATAATCAAAATAATAGCAAATGCAGCTTTACTGTTTTACACATGCACATTTTTTTTACTTAAGTTAATCTTTGCATTTGTTCACAACCAATACAATCTCTTTCTTTTCTGCTTTGCAGGATGGATGAAAACTACAACATCATCCCTCATGGAGTAAACTTCCAGGACCCCATATTCCCCGACACGGCAGAGAACCACCGCATGTTTGCCAGCCTCTTCCAGTTCTCCAACTGCACGTCCGGTACTCAGGTCCACAGCTTCACCCCGGAGTATGAGGCCCAGGAGGACAGCCGGGTATGTAGCCCATCAGAACACAAACAGCTTCCCGGTGTGGTTTGTCTGTTTTGAAGGGTCTTTCTCACACTCATTTAGTAATAAGGTCATACATTTGAAATTCGTCTTTTTGCTAACGAAGTTAGCCAGAATAACCCGAAGTACTGTGGTAAACAAATAAAAGGGTTCAACATAATTTTGTTCTCAAAGGAATACTGTGAAGGAGCTGGCAAGCAAGACATGTTCTTAATGCATGAGAAACCAAACACACATTTCCTGAGGTTTTGGCGCAACAAAGAACTTACTTTGTTGAAAGGAAAAATCTACTTTAAACAACATTGTTTTTGCCAGCTTGTTGGCTTTTTGTTGTTTAATGGAGAATTTTCTCATGCATATTGATGGCATCGCTAACGTATAAACACCTGAATGTTCAGACATGTCCAGTGCAACAACAGCTCTTTGATAACTTTAAAACTATTACGTCTAAATGTCAGAATAAAAAAACAAGTGGTGTTTTACATGGATGTTCAACAATCAAGTTAGGTGGAATAATGGAAAATGTTAAGGTTCGTTGGACAGAACACAAGTGTAGCCAAAATACATGATAAATATTAAATTAAGAGGATTCCTTGGATCACTTTCTTTGGACTGGAAAAATCTGCTCTCTATCTTTTTATGTAAACAGTATTTTGTATGTCCATCCTCTGAGGGATACTGAGAAGAATTTATGAAAAGTTAGAAAATTACTAACTTAAGAAAAAACCAGGGAAAGTGGATACATCGTAAAAGTAAATCCTTAACAAAACACTTTCTGGAGGATTACGCAGGACAATGCAGATTGATTGCATCTAAAGTCCACTTCTCTTTTTAATGCTGATGGAAACATTTCCTGAATCAATAAGCTTTAGCTCCGATGTTGAATTGATTAAAGCTCATTTTACCTAAACACTATTGGCAACATTAACACCTGGTGCTCCTTGACTCTGTAAGTTTCCTGCATCTCATCCCAGAATTCATGTGCCAGTATATAAATGGCTTCCAGTCAATTGCCACTGCTTTATCCCCTTTAATGAATCTAAACCCTTTTGCCTTATCCCCTTGATTTAGGTCAGTCTTCTTCTGTCTGTTTCCAATCATTTGCTGACTATGTTCATAAAAGTAACAATCCTTCATGGGTAAAGAGAATGAAAACATGGTTTTTATTTCCATTCACAGCAAACGTTTGGGTTAGGCCTGTGATTATAATTACAGAGCAACTTTTAGATATCAATGATGCTGTCTTACATCATTCTCATGATTAGATGTCCTCCTAGCAAGATAAAAACAGACTTTGTTTTTAATGGTACTGCGCAACCATTGTTTAGGCAACGGACCTAAAATCACATTAGAACAGATCATGCCATACGCATCCCATAATCCAGTCCACCAAAGTAAAACGCATGGCATTTATTCAATTTCTAATCGAAGAGTATCAGCAACCAAAATATTATTTTAATCATTTTCCCACAGTTTTTGTGGTCCAAACACCAAGGCAGAAATATAAGCTTTAGCAGGCTGTCTGACTCCACTGTCCTTGATAGCTGGAAACAAAGACACAACAGATTGCTGCTCATAAAGAGTCAGCTTCAGTTAACATGGACCAAGATACATTTAGTTTCTTCTCAGATGTCAATCATGTTCAATATTAACCCTATATTGAACAGGTAGTAATACATCTCTGCCTTTCTTTTCTCTTGCTGTGAATGTCATGTTGAAAACACTAAAGCTTATCACAAGGCAATAAGTCGTCCACCCAGAGTCAGGTTTAAATGGTATATCTATGTCTCGGCTCCAGACTTTTTCAAGGGCAATTACCTAAGTATTTGTCTACTCTGCAACTTAGCCTGAAATAACCCTATAAACGTAGACGTATAAACCAAATAAAGACGTTTTGTGTTTGAGTGTTAATCGTATAACTCGGGTGCCATTTTACATCTCCTGCTTTACATAACTTGGCTGTTCTGCTCGTGAACTTCATAATTCACATTAGAAAGTGTAATCCCTCTTTAAATCACTCATGGGACATAAGTAAGAGCACAGGGGAAAACTCCGTAGCTAATATTAAAACAAGTAATGTTCTAACCAGTGATGTGGGCCGGCAGCCAGCCACACATTTTTAACATTTCCTCAAAACCCTCGGTGGTTGTTATCTGATGGAGGGGGAATATACATCAGTGTTTCACGCTGGCCCCATGTGGAAGTAGTAGGATCTGTGGAGGAAATCCACACTCAGGCAGAGAAGCATGCAGAAAGAGGCAGCTTGAGCTCGTTTTTCCACCTATAAGAAAAGGTCCAGGCCTTTGGATCGGAGACTTTCAGACATGTTGGGTTTAATCCCGCAGTGGTGTCTCTCTGAAACAGACTGAGCAACCTTTTAGTTATCTTGGTCCCTTCCTAAAGCAACAATGTGCTGTCAAAGGCTTTTATAAATGTAATGGTACAAACAGAGCATGCAGTATATGAAAACTCTTGAATGTATTTCCATAAAATATCCCACAGTAAGAATCTTAAACATACTTAATGAACTTCTCGGCTTCCCCCACCCCTTTCTTTCATTTTAGGCGACAAGCACTCAAAAAAGTGTCACTTTCTTTGACTGTCTCACACACAAATGGTGGAAATTGCTGAAAGCTCTTGACACGGGTTGTCAGTCCAGAAGAATGCCAGATGTGTTTTCTCACTTGAGTTATGACTGAACCAAAATTAAATCCAGCATAAAAAACAGCAGGTCTGACAGGTGCTACGTCATAAACCTTACAAAAACATACAAAATCTGGTACTAGTAAAGAAATCTTGTAAAATATAAAGCCCAAATCCTTTCAAAAATGCTCATGTCCGAAGACATCTACAGCCAACTTTAAGTCATAGTCATAGCACACTGGCATTATGAAGGCTGAACAGAAAGTTTGAAAAGAAAAGCCATATTGATGCCAGCATTTCTGTTTTAAATAGAAACCTAACTTTACTGTCTTCATGTCCAACATAAAATCCTGCCTGGACACAGTAAGATACCGCAAATACAAACTCTAAGGTTAGTCCCAGCAGCATTAGCCCACTGGGACTGACCTGTTGAAAGTGCATGGCACGGTCATAGACTGTTTGTATATAGCACGGTACTACACCATGAACTTTTAAACATATGTTTGCCTGCAGTGCACTTCATCAAATGCTCTGCATGCCTTTCATTCACATGTATTTCCTTGAAAAGTTGTATCAAACAATCGTTTTCACTTCCCTTCACAGCTGTTGTGCTCTGCGGTGCAGAAGGCTCTGTTTGAGGAGGAGGAGAAGGCCTGGGTTCTCTCCCAGAAGGTGCGCTCCTTGGAGAAAGCGAACGACCACCTGAGGGAAAAGGTGAAGACCATGAAACGTCTGCTACGCCAAGCCCAGCGGGGAACAACCAAGGAGCAGCAGACCCTCAGCCTCAAACAGCTCTACCGGTCAAAGACGTCCCAAACTCACCCCGACCAGGACACTGCTAGGGACCAGCCACTAAAAAAGGTCCTCTCCACCAAAAAACAGTACAATTGACATTGACAAAGACAGGGCACTTCATTACATTCTGTATATCTTTAACATTATTAATGTGCTCATTCAAAAGGAACAATCCAAATTAAGGTCCTGTTATATGTTCAGTTTTATTTCCTGTCTGTCACCTACAAACAGAGGAGAATATCCATGTCTAAATGTGTGTGTGTGTGTGTGTGTGTGTGTGTGTGTGTGTGTGTGTGCGTGCGTGCGTGCGTGCGTGCGTGCGTGCGTGCGTGCGTGCGTGCGTGCGTGCGTGTGTGTGTGTGCATGTTTGTGTATGTGTTTGCTTTCACTTGACCTGTTTTAAGGAATTAAATTAGGGATTAGGGATTTAAATGGCTTCACAGGAGTAAGAGTGCTTCATGTAATTCTCCTCAACTCTTAATTCTTATGCTACCTGACTGTCCAATATCATTATTTTGTCTGAATTATTTACTTTCTATGTTAACCCCGCAACTTTTACCTTTTTGGGCCTTTTTATTAGTTCCATTCAGTGGCAGCACAATATCTTTCCAATCATTGGACAGAGCGCTCAGCTGGCAGCTGCACTTTAAGTGGACAATGTCAAAGCATTGATACATTTAATATCTTGTTTGATTCTGTGCTGGACACACTATGCATTGTATACATGTTAGAATTAGTATCATAATTCAGAAATAGTATCATCAAAATGCTCCAACTCAAGCTCTCTATACAGTATATCACCTTGTTCTCATCAAACTCTTTTGACCAGAACAAGGTGATATAAACATCTATGTGTTCATTATGCTACGATGATTTCATATGCTAAGAGTGTTTATATGAGTTACAGAGTAGCAGATGTGCCAAAGTTTAAAAAGCTGCAAGACCAAACATTACGTCACGTCATTATTTTCGACCTGCTTTTCATTTCTTTGTATCTATTCATACGCAGGAAACTATCCCAAAGTGTATGCTTCTCAACATTCAGTTAATTATTTCTAAGAGTGCCTTTTCCACAAGTTATTCAATCACATCATACTTAAGGAAAGTGTATATGTATTTGAAAACAGGGTGCTGAGCACTCACTTAGATCAGCCAGTGAGCCTGGTACAGGGTTGGCTTTGAACGTTTTGCTTATCTTATTATACTTTGTGTAGTTACTTTATTCTAACTTCTGCTCTCTCTAAACAGCAGACATATGGTTTGCTCTGCCAATAGCATCCCTATTTCTGTAACAGTGTTTGCAGTTTTTTAAATAAATAAATGAACTTTTATTAAATGTCATTTGTGGTTATTTTGAATTGTCACAGTTGAGGTCGTCTTCATAACATTATGTATTTTACTTTTTGGGTAGAATATGAAAGAAATGCACTATATGTGAAGTGTAATACATCCACAAATGAGAGCCTCTAAATATACAAACCTTTCATCATAAATTAATCTTCTGTCTTTATATTTCTTTGTTTTGCTTCATGACTTTTCCAGCTACAGTTTCATGCAACACTTTGAAACAGTTTTTCTGGTCAAGGTGCAAACAACAGTGTAACATTATTTGATTCTTTCATCTGACATATTGAAAAATAAATGCGTTGAGCAAAACACCAGAGCAAAGTAGTAAAAGGATCTAACCCCGATTGTAAATCTTCCTGCTTTCCAGGTATTCCCCGCTGATGCTTTTTGGCATGTTCAGTATGTTTTGTGTGATTCAGTGCTAATAAATCAATCCTTTTCGAAAGAACACGTGCAAGTTTGAAAGGAAATATAAATCATAAATATGAATTGGCCCTATTTCGACCTTCTTTTCTCAGACTTTTGTGCAGTTTTACTTCCGGTGCACTTTCAGAGAGAAAACAGAAACATTTGAGACGCAAAATCGTCTTGGCAGATGAAAATGTCAACACAATTTCCAGGAGAACCAAATGTCTTCCATATGGTGGCATAAAAGTGAGGGAATTGAGAGGCAGGGTTGCATGACTGCTGAGAAACAAAAAAATGTACACATTTCAAACATGTTTTACATCAGGATCTCTCACAGGATTATTCTGCAGTTAAGCTGGACACCAGGCGGACATTTACAAGCTTTCCTCTCGCGCATCGTTTGACCTGTGGAGCGAGGCGGGAAAGTGTTGCAGGGAACAGCTTCTCGTCTTGTCTCCTAGTTAGCTCTTTATTCTCCCCGTGAAATCTTTGCATCAGACAACCTAGCCTGCAGCCAACTGTCAAAATCCCATGGACCGGAGCCAAAGATGATATACACACACTGCCTCCTCAACATAAACCACTGTGCACAGCCAAGCTGCAAAGCAGATGTCAGGCACTACCTCGGCACAGTGGTGGTCCCTCCACAGGACCGGCTATCTGTGGGCTCAGTTTATTTATCTTGCCTTATTTAATGTTTTCAAATGCCGTTACTTTCTCTACCTACTTCGGTTTCATTTTTTTTGTTGTATTGATAATTCCAGAGCATCTGATTGGTCAATACATTATATATTTTCCTTTTTTTTCTTTAACCTCCACTTCTGTTCATGTTTTCTCAAGCAGCTACACCTAAGTCTTTCACTCCGCTGTCATTCATCGCTCCGCATGAAGAAATCCACCGGAGACATTTCTTACTTTGAGATCTTTAACCTGCCATTGGCTCCAATGTTTCTGTAGGTAACGGGCCTACTAGGGTCTGCTGGTGTTTCCTTTAGGAAAAGAAAACCAGCACTTAGTGTTTTCAATTAATCACCTTGTTAAATAAAATAAATTCTCCACAACCTTCCAAGTTGCTACGTGAGGCTGCACAGTTGTGATTCAAGCTACAAGCTAAAAGCTTATGCTCACATAGCATAATTTCCACGTCAATAACTTCTTTCTTCTGATTGTCAATATTTAAAAAAACATGAGCTCACTTCTCTGTTTTACTGCCATGAAGTTTACTTGTTTATTTGTATCCATCTTATTTATAATGTTAATTCTTCCTACTAGGACTTGTCTGTTGTGTGTTGTGGGGCTTAAACTCTGACCACTCTGCTGTGTCCTGTCCTCGCATGCTATGGTCATGTTTCAGTTACTTTGTTTTTGTACATAAAAATGTGTACCATGAATATTATAGAATAAAGAGGGCTTCCAGTTGCGACTTTTGTTAACAGTATTAGTATATATACAGTAAGCGGCTGGGCTGTGCCAAAATTTCTTGAGTTATGCCTCTTTTATCACACAAGGGAGTACTGCTACACTCCAGGCTCACTACGAAAAAGCTCATGTTTACGTTCTAAAAGCCGGTTTAAGATTAACCACATGCTGAGATTTGCTAATTAAACTCAAAGTACAGCAAAGGCTCATTGGCATTGATGTTTACTAAATGGGAAATGAACATTGACTTGATGGTATTTGGATCACCAAAGTCATTAAGATCCATGTGAATGTGTGCACCATATTTTTTAATGGCAACAACAGATTTCAAAACATTTGACTAAGATTCTTGTGATGGCGTTCGATTCCGATATTAAGGAACTCTGTGTAAATTCAGTCTTGTCAAAGTGATGCACAAAAAAGATGAGACATGCATCTAAACATGGCTTCTATTGCAGTGGAAATGCTTCCTCACCATTTCTTCATACTTGACCAACCGTACTCTGGCGAGGAGGAGGTGATTTTTCATTGTTGCCTGTCCACGTCTGTTTCAATAAGGATGACTGATGTGTGTGTTTGCCCCGAGAGACCTTGGCTGTTCCACTCTAACTAAAATCACAAGCCTCAGCCCCATATTGTAAACTACATATTGAGAGCCCATATGGGGATAAATGCAGTAATTTATGGAGCTAATAAAAGTGAACTTAGTATTTTTATTTTTGCACAGCCAAGTTATGGATCACAATTTGTCATTGCCACAGTTCTTGACTAAAAACGTGACAAAAGAAACTTTATTTAGGGCTTGAAATCACCTCAGGATTACATTTTTGTGATAAAGGTAAACGTTTTTTAGCTTCACAAGCAAAATACTTTTTTCCTTCCCTCCCCCCTTTCTTTCGTCCTCCATCCTTCACATGTAATTATTCCTTTCTTTGTCTGGGTTGCTGACAAAGTCTACAAGACAAGCAGGAGGAATTTGACTTCATGTGTTTGTAGTTAGCGCTGCCTGGCTGTTTTTATGTCTAATGGTTTCACTCAGGGTATGTTGCATTTATGATGCTATATTTTCCACCCTGAATGTTGACACCGTTTTGAGTGATTGTGAAGGATTTTTTTTTTAGATTCATTAGGCACTACATTTGATGTTTTCACATAGTTTTCAAAGAATAAGATCAGGCTGTTGTCTTACAGCAACTTAAAATCTCAAAATAATCTGCTGTCCAGACGCAACAAAACGCAAACACATTATTCTCAATCAATCCTCTTAGAGATATTTAATGAGTGAACACATGGTGCGCCTCAAAACAAGTCAGTCTCCACACTGAGTTACATAAAGCCTTATAAAGTACAAAGAACACCATTAAACCATCTCTGTGCCATAAATCACATCCCAGTGCCAGGTGCTGCCCATGCAAGCAGGAAATCGCATCACCCTCCACAGCAGGGATTCTAACAAACGCGTGACCCGATAACCTGAGGTCATATGTTTTTCTTAGACAACCAGATGATAAAACAAAGATGTTTTACCTAAAAGAAAACTTTCCTTTCCATTAAATTGACTCAGGTTTTTAAAACCCTTCAATTATTTGCACATAAAAACCTTAATGTTTCAATCAAGATTGCTCAAGAGCGTAACCCAGCAGATATTTTGTTAAAGGCAGGGGACACTGGACAAGCTTGACAAATTAGACAGACACATATTCAAACCTATGAACAATAAAGACTTGTCAAATCAACTCAACAGCACTTATTTGGACTGCCTGCGCAGAGGAAATGTATAATGTTTTTGTTGTTGGTATAGATTGAATCCTACATGACATGAATGAAAGGAAATGTTAAAGCAGATTTAATTCGCAGCACTGTTTGTACCTTGGTTCAAAACCTTTCATTGAGATAAGGTTGAGCATTTTATTTAAACATACATTTTTTCCTGAAAAAGCAAAGTCCTGCAGTGTGTGGGTTTGTGTGTTTTTGTATTTAATGGATTGGTAGATGGGGGTTCTGTACATTTATTTTCTCAAGTCTGGTTTTGTTGAAAGTTGGAAGCATACACTTGGAGCAGAATTTGTTCAAATGTAAAGCTGAAAGAACTGCTCTTATTTCCTAGTTTTTATAAAGAGTAAAGTAATATAAATGTAACTTGTAAAAAAAAAAAAAATGTAAATCAGTGAAATGTGAACAGAAACAATTTTTTTTCCAGAAAGTAGCAGCTGTTTTGTGCTAGTGACCTGATCCAGGCAAATGACCGATCGAATGAATGAAACGGGGTTATCAGGAAGTTGTTCACATTGCACACATTTCACATGTTTCTGGACCCCCATGTGACCTCAGACGACCCAGAATTCCACTCTTCATCCTGTCTGATGTGTGCTTTGATCCATTGTTCCTGAAATAAATCAGTCAAATCCTATTCTAGATGAGCAAAGGTTTTTGAAAAAACAGTCTTTCATGATTTTCCTTGCTATTTATCCTGCTCTTGTCATGTGTTCTTCCTGACCCTGTTTTTCCTTTTCATCTGCCGTGGTCGTCTGACGGACAGAGGGTGAACTTCCAACGAAGGCCAGTATCAGATATATTACTAATGCAAGTAACATGGATATCAAGTTTCTGGCAACGTTTGACCCTAATTGCAGGATGAATTTCTATAAAAGTGGAAAATTAGTGGCTATCCTCATACTGCCAGATACTCTCCATCGTGCTCCGCATCCTGTTTGTTATTACCCGCTGCGGTTTGCACAGTCATGCAGAACTTTGAGGGTCTGCAAGTTTTCATAAACTGCGATGCTTTGGCTTCAGGAGTGCTGCTGCAGTAATCCTCAGAGAAGGCCAAGAGCCCATTTGTTTCAGAAAGAGATTTCTGGGCAAACTTTGAAGAAATAGCCTTTGGGACTTTGTAGAAAAACACATTCCCATCATCTCACCCACTCAGATCGGCTAAAAGGAGTCATTCACAGCGAGTGAATTGTTCATAAACTGAATGTCACTCATCTCCAGGGCCAGGGAGAGGAGGGTGATCTCACTGCGCAGTTAAGTACCCCCCCCCCCC